TTTAAAAAATATTAGTGGTTTCAAGGTTTCAAATGAACACTTTTTTATTTTGTTCGAACTAATAGCCATGGAAATAAAAAGCCTAGTAAGTTAATTTTCGTGTTCTGTTACATGTGTGAACCACTGTAAATTACTTGACTTGAATTACCTGACTCGTATTCTGACTCGAGTACACTTCGAGTCAGAAAAATTATGACTCGACTTGACTCGAGTCAAAACGAGTTGATTCGAGTCCAATCACTAATATGAACACAGCCAAAAAAACTCTTAAATTAGGGACCCCTTTGCCCTTCATTGTCGGATCAATTCAGTAATAAGAAACTATTTATTGAATTATAATCACAAAAATGGCACTTCATAAAATTGCTTACTTTTCAGCCTTTGTTTACGTTGCCCTTTTATCCGTCATTTTGACCAATGCAGAACCATTATTGATGGAAGAAAAACGATCGCTAACAGTATAATTGAATGCAGGACCGGTAGGATTGAAAGCAGGATCGGCAGGAGCGTCGACCAAGTTAAAACGATCATTCATGGGAAAAAGAGCACCACCAGCTGTAAATATATGGTTTTGTGAGCGTTGTTGGATAGGTGATCCGACGAAATTTGGAAACTGTTGTTGGTCTGGTGTAGGATATCCGGATGTGTAGGTGAAGGGTAAGAATACAATTTTAAAATTTTGAGTTTCTGCTATATCAATCTTTGTAATAATTCCACATATACCAACAGGTATCAGAATGAGTATGAAACTGCGGTTCTCGTTTCAAGCAAATGGATGTAAAAGAAGGTTGCTTTTCTTAACTAGAATAAAGGCCTTGTTAATTTTTTTGATCGCTTTTGCTTAATAAATAGCAAAAATGAATCGGGTTAAACGAATGAATTATAATAAATGATTGAAATTTTGCCCCAAGAAATTTTTGTGTCCCTGGTTAATAATTTACATGTTCAAACAATAATTGGTTCTAAATTAAATAAATTTAAATAAATTTAAAATTTCTAAGTTTCATCTTTAATGCAAATTTCTCTAAATTATTCTTCACTTAGTGATTCTTTTACAAGCCCAACCATCTTATTATTACAGATTAATGCTGAAAAATACTATAATTCTTTTTTAAAATTTGTTATATACATCAGTGAATTTTAGCTAACGGTTTGACATAGATTCATTCACAGTTTGCTAGCATGTGGTTGGTGTAATTAAAAAATCTTAATTGCAAAATTTGAAGTTGTGATTGTGTATTCCATCACTTTAATGATGTATCAGTATTTTCTATTTGTGTTGAGTATGTGTAGGGCTGTTAAAAGTCTCATGTGAGTCGGTCTTTGAGTCGTCTTTTGCTGAGTTGCTTTTGAGTCTGAGTTTAG